GCTGTTATGAAATAATGAAATAAATAGCTTACCGAACCAATTCCATGGTGAGAAGACATAACGTATTGGGTTCCATATGAATTGCCTGACTTCAAAATGAAGATGCCATACAGCAAACACAACAACTGTTAAGAAGAGATTTCGTCTCAAATCACTATCCTCGGTCTGTGATATTGCAATTATGAAGCATACAAAAAATGCAGCAAATATGTAACATATGTATAGGTAATAACAAAATCCAAATGTTCGCCATTTGAAGTCTATCAATGCCTCGCCATCCCAGATTCTAAACAATTCTGGTGTTCTGTTGATAACAGTTTTAACAAATGGACTCGGTGCTGGGAAAAAGAAGTCTTTCATAGCTGAATACTGCCGAGGGTATGAACAAAAATTCGGCAGCCGAACAACGAGGGTTAATGTAGACCGTCTTTTATAGCCTATACTAGGCGACAATGTTTCTAAAAAGTGGTCTATTTTGCTGAGACTTGCAGTCAGGGGAGTGTATATCAGTAGGTACTTTGCAAATATCGCATTGGAAGTCAGCAAAGTGAGCACTGCTCTCAGAAACATCTGCCATACCCAACCCTCAAATGAAACCTGCCCTCTAATAAGACATGAAATAGTTCGCGTCAATATAACCGCGAGTTTTCTCCGCTCCACAAGTTCACTCGGATTTCCTGTTCTATATGCAAAACCACAAATACGACTGGAGGGTAGCATCAAACTGTGTACAGAGTGACATTGTGGAGCCAAAATCAAACATGTATTTGAAAAATATTTTGCGGCTTTATCAGGATAGTGTACCCACAGTTTTGGTAGTGAATCGGTTACAATTTGCAAGAAGCCAATATACATAATTGAGTTATCGCGGAAGAGGTCAATACAAGTCTTGATTATAGACTCGACCACATCTTCGTCTCGCTGATGAATTGCTTCGGCGAGCAATATATTTCCATACTTGGCCAGATTGTCTCTCGTTCTCAATAAGTTAACGAGATTACCAAATAATCGAATTCTCGTCAAATCGTTACTTTCTTCTGCTTTTCGCTTATGCCACCAGATACTTTTGAAATTAGGTGGCGGCAATGGTTTATCATCATCGTTAAGCTCCGCATAAAGCAAATGTGACAGGGTATCATCCATTAGTTCTTCGAGAGAAATGTTTGTCTGCTCAAGCAGATAATTGATTACATTACCAAACCTCATCCCATTATCCCAGTAATAACTAAGTTCGATAGTATCATTATCGCTGAGATAAAATATGCACAGACATTTTGTAGTTAATATAGCGAGATCACCGTTATCCCAAATTTTTGAATCCTCTACTTTTCCAAAATATTTAAACTCTTGAGCACTGATGGAAGTGATGAAAGATAAATTTCTATAAGCACAAAGCCCAGAAAGTAGATCTACAGTCCAATGAAGAGATACTCCGGAAGGATCTGTTGTTTCCAGATTAGTTATTTCTGGACGATTGACCGAAATGATTGAACGTGAAGAGTCTTTTTCAAATGAAAGGTGCCGAATAGCGGTAGCGCTTGGTGGATGATTGAATAGATTCTTGTGGAGTGTTTTGATGCGATCTCCTACTGCACATATAATCTTAGGTATATCATCCGTTTTTACTATTATCTTTGCTCCACTAATTACAAATGACTGATTAGGTCTCCATTCAGTCAGGCTAACATACTCTTGAAGATTAATTGTATCTAGTGGAGTTCCAAAACCTTCGTTAGCAGGTTTCTGGTAGAGATTGTGCGGATACCATAACATAGCCTTTCCTCTCTTTGTCACTGTTAGCAACAATAGATAATCCCAAGTCTCTATAAACTCCATAGCAACGATCCAATCGTCAGTATCATTCTTTACTCGTATCGTCGACATTGGAAGTCCAGTTTGTATCCAGTACATTGTCAATGTCTGAGCTTCGTCATCCTCAGCCACGAATGCAGATAAAGTACTCTCAGAGTCTATTGCAATAACGTAATCTTCTTCACCACGTTCTCTCTGTCGCGTAGAATCCAATGTTCCATTCCCAATGTAATATTCCATTTCCTTTTTTTCGTTAGCGAGGTCCCACTGCGCCAGGTAGTTACCACATATGCATATTAGTTTCTCGTTAGTGATAGAGTATCGAACAGGCTTGTGAGGGGTTCGTCTATTGAAAGCATCCTCTGTTGGAGAACACCAATCAAATTCAATAGTCTTGCTTTTCCAGCGGTTTTCACAAGTATCGTATCGATGAACGCCGACATCATTCACAACAACAAATTCACGAGATCGAAGAAACGCATAATGGATGTCGCTAAAATCGCTTGTATTTGTGGCTTCAATGAGGGCAATTACGTTTGACGTTGAACTCGAACTTCTTAAATTCTTCAGTTCTGGTTCGAATGACGGGTCTTCTTCTTCTCCAAAGGATATTACAGCTACATTGAAAAAGTAATAATAAGCGATATCCATGATCGTTTGAATCAGATAATCATTGATCCGATTTACCAACGACCGATAATTTACCATGACCGGCTGCCAGATATCCGTGGTCGGAAATAGCGAATCCTTGATGCACATTACCAAACGTCTCTTTTATCTTTATCGGTCTCGCCTCGGATATTTTCCATACTATCAGGTCGTCATTATGGGATGTAGCAACAAAGTTTCCCTCCGGTGAAACCACAATAACAGTCTTTCTCGTAGGCCGTACAGCATTTGACGGAAACCTAATGGGGAGATAGGATTGAATATCTGCTTCTTCCCTTATGTCTGACATACTAATATCGCCTTTCCGCAGGCGGAGGTAAATAATCGATCAACGCTATCTAGGCGATTTTCTACAATTCGACGGGATGTCAACCATAATAATCTATTACTATTTATACAGTTGACCCTTCCTACAGTCACGTTGTCGGGAAAATGCAACATTATTAAAAATGTGACTGTATAGGAGTTTGTTTTTTCCTATAAGTCAATAGTAATTGGTCTATAAAGAGATCTTTTATAACGTGCTTATAGGGGAGTGGGTGACTATAAAGAGGGTGGAGTCCTGCACGATGGCATATTTGCGCATACCGTGACGTAAATGAGAGTAGTAGATGTACAAAAAAGTATAAATGAAGATCTGAGAATGGAAAATAAGTAAAGGTTAAAGGTGTACAATTAGGTAATCGTTAGGTAGTGCCATGATGCAGACTACTCATTTTTCCCGATTTGCTAATTCTATTACATTTTCATCAGTAGTCCAGTTATCAGGATTATTATTTAAACGCGAATAACTTCCCGACCTAAAGGCTCTCGAAGCTAATCCCATCGAACGAAATAGACGCAATATTCGAAGTTAAATAATCTAGGGATGGCGTGATCAAGCATCGTGAGTATTTCGAAAACCAACGTTAAGGTCAGTAGGTTTAGCACGAGTCAGAGATAATCCCGTTTGAAAGGCTAAATCCCAAGGCGCGCTCGACAAGAGCCTTCCTTCCCGAAAATTGTATCATAATGTTCAATAACTGTTTCTTCGGGAACGATATCAGTCTTTCGCCAACAGTTACGTATGATTTGCGATGATATATCAGACTATGCTTCTGATAAAGTTATTAAATTCCTGAAAATCTTCGTATGCCCTAATCCGATTTAGACTAAATAAAGTTCTACATTTGAAACAATGAATAATACCAGCGTCGCAAGTTTGAAGAAATTTAATTTTATAGTCTAAGTTCTCTGCTGTTTCTTCAAGAATAATATGTACTAGTGCATTATCAGCCAGCAATAAAATATTTCTATTTGTTTTTTAAAAATGCTGACTTACATCTAGGCTGACTCGTTCCAATAATAATAAACTGGTAAGTTAGCATGATTTAAATCTCGTCCGAAAGTTTAGTACGAGTTAAAACGCGCGAAGGTTCCATTTTTTCCAAAAGGGGCCAGTTTTATATCGTCTTCAAGATTATAGATACTAAGGAGCGTTCGTAATGATTTCCAACTGTTCAGCAGGTGGTGAACTTGCACTTCCTGAACAAATCAAGTTGACTTTAGTAAACAGACCAAACGATATAATTACTAATAACGATATGGTGTGAACTATGCTCACCGCGCTGCTGTTGGCTACGTCTATATATGGGGACTGGACTATCAACGGTATATGCATGCTATATACCAATGAGAGATGATATTTTCTATCAACAAATGATCTCAAAACCCAGCTCCTATTAATCAACTTTAAACTGAGAAGATTGCCCTACGATTTTGTGTATTATGGAGGGTTCATTGTATACATATACACTACCCTACAATAAATTACCGGATTTCATATTTTTTTTACTAGTAAAACATATGAAAAGTCTTTTTTGTTCAAATATCTCTCCTGCCCATGTGGACTATGTGAATGACAATAGTTTTTGTATGGTTTTGAAGCTAATTAATTGTTGTACGACACTTTCTGAATAAGGTAGACACAACAAAAACGCGTGTTTGTTGTTGTCATGTAATTTTTATTGGCGAGGAAGTTGTACCGCCAGTATTTTTTTTGGGAGGGGGGAGACTGTATACAGTCAGGACTGGATATAACGATATTTCCGTTAGGTCATATTTTCATCGTATCGAGTTATCGTTAATCCTTTTTGTAGCGATAACATAATAGTTACGAAAAAAATATCGTTATACAAAATATTATCGATCTTGTTCGATATTGAAAATGATAATTACAAACTACATTCTGGTAATAAAACCGTCTAACATCTTTTTTTGTGCAAAGGTAAAGCGTGTTCTTTTGGATATCGGGTGTTTTCGCTGGTAGTTCATTTATTGAGTACCCTTTGTTTAGTATTCGGAAATGAATAGTAATAGTCCTGATTTGTACCCGACCGAAAATCTTTAATATAATGATGCCAAGAAATTGTGGTTAAAGCAGTTTATGTAAGAGGAATGGCGAAATATTCCACAAGCAACTCTTATTATTTAATGGACACCAATAAAACGAAAATCGTGTGAGTGCGCATACCATATTAATCGATATTCAATACATTTATGGAGTTACGCTTTCATTAAACCAGCAAACATAAAAATTGACACAATGGTTACTGAGTAATAACGATTTAAAATATCACTATGAAACTCCTTAATCGAACATACGCCTATTTAGAATCTTGAAAACAACCTCTCGTACACACAATCGAAATTTGCTCATACTACCTTATTTGATATTCAGGATGTCCAACATTTTCTTGCTATGTTTTGAAAGTTTAGACGAATAATCAGGATCGGCCTGAATATTCTCTGTCATAACTTTCCGTAATTCCTTTGTATCAACCTCAAAATGTCTAATGATCATGAATAACAAATGTTAAATGAAGTTATCATAGAGTATGTATTGCAAACCAATTTACCTACACGGTACTGGGAAACCATTCTGATCTTCGTTGATTTGGAGTAAGATAAAACAACTCGATCTCTGCCAATATCTACAGGAACAGATATTTGTTAGCCCTGTCTATTATGAGTAGTACTTACATAATATAACTATTCCAATACCTCTGCTTTCTGTGCTAAATATGACACATATTCATGATATGTATTGATTGCATTATTTAACAATCCAATAAAGAGATTCATTAAATAAATCACAACAAAGAAAGAGAATAGAACTGTCATCATGACTAATAATGGATTCTCATTTGGGCCCCAATTTGCAACTGAAGACCAATCACCTATTCACAAAAGATTATGATTAAAGCGTAGTTAAAAACACTAGGCATCCCAAACTGATAACATTACCAACAAGAAACTTGTATGCTCCCAAGAGTGAAGTAGTGAACCACGTATATACGTTTGTATTTTCATCTGGTTCCACGACTAATGATGTGCCATTTACAATCGTTCCATTGTCTAGCACTGTGGTAAGTGATTCTGTCAGTTTCCATGGATCATTAGGATCGCTATTATCTGGACTTGACGGCGTTTCCCATGAGGTGCCAGACTCTGGTTTCAACAATACAAAGAGTGCATGTGCAAATCCTATGACCATAATTCCAAGGATCACCAGAAACGAGAATACTTGCTTTATAACGCCGAATATTATTGTCATATAAATTCCAAAATACTCAAACGGTCGAAGAAGGAACAGAAACTTAATCCAAAGAAGAAAAATGGATACTGATGTCATCCATCTTGGTGAGTTATTCTCCTGCAGATAATTTACAGCAGTAGCGAGAGGAAAACTAAATGCACCACAATCTGTAATTAAAGCAATACGTGGTAAATAAATATCAATAATTTGAATCTTAATATGATTTTCAGCTTAAGCCAACTACATAATCAATAATAATAAGCCGTTATGAAATAATGAAATAACTAGCTTACCGAACCAATTCCATGGTGAGAAGACATAATATATTGGGTTCCATATGAATTGCCTAACCTCAAGATGAAGATGCCATCCAGCAAATACAACAACTGCTAAGAAGAGATTTTGTCTCGTGCTACTATTTGAGTCATCCTCGGTTAGTGATATTGCAGTTATGAAGCATACAGCAAATACTATAAATTTTATGCAAACGAGTATATAATAATAACGTCCAAATGTTCGCCATTTGAAGTTTATCAATGCTTCTCCATCCCAAGTTCTAAACAATTCTGGTGTTCTGCTAATGACAGTTTTAACAAATGGACTCGGTGCTGGGAAAAAGAAGTCTTTCATAGCTGAATACTGCCGAGGATACGAACAAAAGTTCGGTAGCCGAACAACGAGGGTTAATGTAGACCGTCTTTTACAAAGTTTTGTTCTATACCAGAAACTTTCTAGCATGTGGTCGATTTTGCCGATACTTGCGCTCAGAGCCGAGGATCTCAATAACAACCTTGATAGTGACGTATTGGAACGCAGCAAAATCCGTGCCAGTTGCAAAGTCACCTGCCATGCAGTCCGCCATGCCAACTTCAATGAATATCGTTCAAAAAATATGTTCATTATGTCCAACGTGTTGGCGAATTTGCTCCGCTTGGTGAGCCCACTCGGATTTCCTGTTCTACATGCAAAAGCACAAATACGATTGAAAGGTAGCATCAAACTGTGTACAGCGCGGCATTGTGGAGCCAAAATCAAACGTATATTTGAAAAATATTTTGCGGCCTTATCAGGATAGTGCACACACAATTCTGGTAGTGAGTCAGTTACAATTTGCAAGAAGCCAATATACACGATCGAGTTATCGCAAAAGAGATTAGTACACGTTTCTATTATAGACTCGACTGCAACTTCGTCTCTCTGTTCAATTGCTTCGGCGAGCAATATATTTCCATACTTGGCTAGATTATCTCTAGTTATCAATAAATTAATGAGATTTTTAAATAATTTAGCTCTTGGCCGATCACTACTTTCTTCTGCTTTTCGCTTATGCCACCAGATACTTTTGAAGCTAGGTGGTGGCAAGAGTGTATCATCATCGTTAAGCTCCGTATAAAACAAGTTTGATCGGCTATCATCCATTAGTTCGTCGAGAGAGATGTCTGTCAGCTCAAACAGATAAGTGAGTATGCTACTAGGCCTCATTCCATTATCCCAGTAATAACCAAGTTCGATAGTATCGTTATCGCTGAGATAAAATATGCATAAACATCTAACGGTTAATATAACCAGATCACCGTTATCCCAAATTTTTGAATGTGTCATCTTTCCAAAATATTTAAACTCTTGAGCATTGATGGAAGTGATGAGAGATAAATTTCTATAAGCACAAAGCCCAGAATGTGGATCTACAGTCCAACGGAGAGATGCCCCGGAAATATCTGTTGTTTCCAGGTCAGTTGTTTCTAGACGATTGACCGAAATGGTTGAACGTGAAGGGTCTTTTTTTAATGAAAGGTGCCGAATATGAGTAGCGCCTAGCGGGTATTTGAATAGACTCTTATTGAGGTTTTTGATGTGGTCTTCTACTGCGCATATGACTTTAGGTACATCATCCGTTTTTACTATTATCTTTGCTCCACTGATCGCAAATGTCCGCTTAGGTCTCCATTCAGTCAGGCTAACATACTCTTGAAGATTAATTGTATCTAGTGGAGTTCCAAAACCTTCGTTAGCAGGTTTCTGGCAGAGATTGTGCGGATACCATAACATAGCCTTTCCTCTTTTCGTCACTGTTAGCAACAATAGATAATCCCATGTCTTTATAAACTCCATAGCAACGATCAAATCGTCGGTATCATTCTTTACTCGTATCGTCGACATCGCAAGTCCTGTTTGTATCCAGTACACTGTCAATGTCTGAGCATCGTCATCCTTAGTCACGAATGCAGATAAAGTACTCTCAGAGTCTATTGCAATAACGTAATCTTCTTTACCATGTTCTCTCTGTCGCGTAGAGTCCAGTGTTTCATTCCCAATGTAGTATTCCATTTCCTTCTTTTCGTTAGCGAGGTCCCACTGTGCCAGATAGTTACCACATACGCATATTAATTTCCCGTTGGTGATAGAGTACCGAACAGGCTCGTGAGTGGTTCGTCTATTGAAAGCATCCTCTGTTGGGGAAGGCCAGTCAAATTCAGTAGTCTTTCCTTCCCAGCGGTCTTCACTAGTATCATATCGATGAACGCCGACATCGTTCACAACAACAAATTCACGAGAACGAAGAAACGCACAATTGCTATTCTTCAGTTCTGGTTCGAGTGACGGGTCTTTCTTTTCTCCGTAAGAAATTACAACTACATTAAAGAAGTATTAACGAGCGATGTTTGCGATCGTTTGAATCAGATAATCATCGATCCGTTCTACCAATGACCGATAATTTACCATGACCGGCTGCCATATATCCATGATCAGAAACAGCAAGTCCTTGATACACATTAACACCAGTTTCTCTTTTCTTTTTCAGTGTCTTCTCGGAAAAACTCCATATTATCAGGCCGTTAGTATGGGATGTAGCAACAAAGTTTCCCTCCGGTGAAACCACAATATCATTCGTCATCGGCAAACCAACGGCGAGATATGGTTGAGTATTAGCTTCTTCCCTTATACCGGACATAGTAATAACTATAGAAACTTTCTTCACGATCAACAGTGTTACATATAAGAGGAAGGTTGTGTAGCATAATGGACTTTCTGTACAACTTTTTATTATTCATGTAGTTTGTAATCCCTTGTAAGCTTGCGGGCTTCCTTTAGTAGAAAACTTTTTATTGTATTTGTCGGCTATGATAACCGCTCATACGGTACAATATTATTAGTTTATTCGGCCAGCTTATCTGTTATTCAGAATTTCCAACTACAAGGTCAACCCCGATAAACCTAAACCGAAAACCCCGTTAGACTGAACCTTTTTTGAAATCCGCACTTTAGCCTATTAAAATTACCCCGACAAACCGAAGTTACTATTATAATAATTAAACTTTCTGAAACCAACATATCAAAATTTACCCCGATAATCCGAATAAATGACGTAGCACTCTATTTAAGCCAATAATATTGTCGACCTTTGTAAACCGAATATCGACCGCATATTTCAGCCAATTATATTTGTCTATAAAAATTGCTTTGCAACATTCTTCTCTTACAAACAAGAATTCGATCGAACAAAGACAAAACGTTCTACAACATGGCACCTAAAAGAAAACATACAGCAATTAAGCTTGCTCAAAAAATTAAAATTTGCAATATAAAATCAACAAATCCAACAATAAAAAACGTTGAGCTAGCGTCTCGATACGGAACTGGAGATTCGACCATTACTGACATTTAAAAAAACAGCATCATTACTTATCGCTTTCGCGCAACAATTATATCACGAACTTGTGTCGAGAAAAACTGTCCAAATATCCAACTGTCGAACAAGCATTGGCTCTTTGGATTGATCAAGTAGTTGACGGAAATTGTTCCCTATCTGGACATACCGTTATTCAAAAAGCTGTGACATTCGCACAGCGCCTAGGCATACAGAATTTTAGGGGATCGAATGGTTGGTTCGATAGATTTAAAAAGCGTTATGGGGTTCGTAATTATCTTCGTCATGGCGAGGCGAACTCAGCACCACTAGAGGACCTTCAACAGCATCGAACTGACCTCCAAAATCTTTTGGCTACATGGAATCTCGAAGATGTTTATAATTGTGACGAGACAGCTCTTTTTTGGAAACTTGAACCTTCGAGAACCCTTGCTCGTCAACCAATTTCAGGTGTAAAAAAGCCAAAGGACCGAGTTACCGTTTTACTGACTTGCAACGCGACTGGCTCTTCAAAACTTACCCCGTCTTTATACATAAATACAGTGACACCTCCATAAATGCAACCCCCATAAGTGCAATCCCTCTCTAAATGCAACCTTTGTTCAATCCCAAGCATGGGACTTAGT